TGAACTGCCAATGTTTTTAGTTTAGTCTTCATGATTCTCACACTTCATAATTAAATTTATTCCTAAGTATTTTATTCTTTTTGATGCTATTGTGAATGGAAGTATTTTTTAGGTTTCATTTTTTAATATTCATAATTAGCACATAGAAACATAGTTTATTTTTGTACATCAATCTTGTATTCTGTGACCTTGACTAAACTTTTTATTAGTTCTAGGTTTATAAATTTTTCTTTTGTAGATTTCTTAGCATATTCTCTATATAGAATTATGTTACCTATGAAAGACTTTATTTCTTCCTTCCAATCCATATGCCAGTAATTTTTTTTTTCTTTCCTTATGGCACTGTCTAGAACCTCCAATTTAATGCTGAATAGAAGTAGTGAGAACAGACCCCATCCTTTGTTCCTGATTTTAGGAGAGTAGCATTTTGTCTTTCACCATTAACTATTATGTTCGCCGTATGTTTTTCATAAATGACTTTTATCAAGCTGAGAACATTCCCTTCTATTCCAAATTTCTTGAGAATTTTTATCATAAATGGGGGATGGATATGGTTAAATGCTTTTTTCCCTGCATCTATTGAGATAATTATTTGTTTTGTCCTTTATCAATATGGTATATTGAATTATTGACTTTTAGGTATTAAGCCAACCTGCATACCTAGGATAAATTCCACTTGATTATGATATATAAATTTTTTTTAAAAAAATAAATGTATGGTCATGAGGGATACTGATTTGTAATTTTCTTTCAATCCAAAATATTTTTATACTTCCTGTCTGTTGCATCCCTTTATGTTTCAGGCACTTTGACAAATTCTTTGCATAAATTCACCAAAAAAAAAAAAGAAAAAAGAAAAAGAAAAACCAGTGCTACTGAGTCACTTCTGAGTATAGCAACCTTATAGGACAGGGTAGAACTGCCTCATAGGGTTTCCAAAGCTATAAATCTTTACAGAAGCAGATTGTGTCATCTTTCTCCCAGGGAGCAGCTGGTAGGTTTGAACTGCCAATCTTTTGGTTATCAGCCAAATGCCATAACCACTGTACCAACAGAGTACCTTCCTTTACATGAACAGTTTCATTTAATGTTTATGAAAACTGTGACAAAGTATTATTAAGTCTCTTCTGTATGGCTGGCTAGAAACTCAGCCTTATCTTTCCACTAAAAATACCTAAAACATTGTTAAAAATCAATACAAAAAACCAAATTTCCCAAATATATGGAATTTAAAAAATGCAGTTCTAAATACGTCATTTGTCAAAGAAGAAATCACAAAGGAAACTTAAAAATATTTGAATTGAGTGGAAACTACAGATCAATATTCTTCATAATCACAGATTTCAAAATCCTTAAGAAACTGAATCCATCAATATAAAAAATAATTATATACCATGACCAAGTGGATTAATCTCAGGTATGCAAGAATACAAGGTTGATTTCTTTGGTAGATTTCTAGAGTCCTACAATGGTATTCTGAAAAATGTGTCCAGTTTTATACTTTTTTTTTTTTTTTTTTGAGGAGAGGATCTATTGACTTTTAACTTCTCCCTAGCTGGAAGTCTTCTGTTTTCACTTAGCTTCTGGCCTTCTATTACAGATCTTAGAAGTTTTTCTAAAGACTTTTAAAAAAAAGATGTTCTACCCAACATTTGAGGTATTTTCAATGGGAAGATCAATCTGGATATCCATCCAGTCACACAGAAGAGAATTAATAATGCTGTGTCACTGTTTTTATGACCATTAAATGAAACTATGCAAAAAATTCAACAAAATGCCTAGGACATAAAGGGGTACCATAAATAGTAGTTATAACATTGTAGGGATTTTACATACATAATTTAATTTTATCTTAATAACGCTATGAGGTAGGCATTCCAATTTTAATATTAGCCAAAGAAAGATTTACTGCAACAAGGATATCCAAGTAGTAAGTGGTGGAGCCAGGACTGAAATCCAAATCTACTCAGTCCCAAAACTAGTGCTTTCCTCACTTTACCATGCAGCCTCCTTGGTGAAGTAGATTTCAGTTGCTACTCTTTTTGGGGCTGCCTGTAGCCTGACTATCAGGGAGATAGTGAGGATTTGACCCATCTCAGGGATTAAGGAGAGAGGGTTTACTGTTATACTAATTAGCAGCAACTCCAAACACAGTGGAGCATGTATAGATTCACAAAAGTAGATAGGGCTTTTGCTAAAACAGTTAAGAAATCACTGCAACGTACCTGTGTGAGTCATTGAAAATGACAGGGTTCTAGGGTTCTGTGGTAGATAAGTTCATGTGTCAACTTGAGTGGCTGGGCAACTGGATGTAGTATTCCCCATGATGAGACTGGTAATCAACGTCCATGGTGGAATCTACTGTGAGTAGCTGAGTAGCTGTCTTAGGGATATGGTCTTGTTTCCTGTATATAAGTAGCAGCTTTGGGAATGGTCTCTAGCTTATGGCATGCTTGAACCCTGCATGTAGCCGAGTCGGAGTTCAGCAGCCTGGCATTGTCTGCCAATCTTGGGACTTTTAATGGACTTGAATTAATGGCCTGCCGTATGGTTTGGTAATATTGGGACTGTGCCTTGTTACTTGTTGACCGTGGGTTTGTCAGCCTCAGCAACCAGCAGCTGAGTGAAGAAAAGCCTCCAGCTTCAGTGGGCTGGGAGCAGGAGGCAGAGCTGCAACCCAAGGTTGAGGGGCTTTCACTCAGCCCCTAGAGCCTGGCACTTTGAACTTGAATTTAAAGCCTCCAAATTATAAGAATAAACTCTGGTTTGTTAGAGCCATCTCATTTGTGGTATATTCCTGTTGGAGCAGTTCTAGGTAACAAGAACAAGTTTTATATGATATTTCCCCAAATTCCAATAATACATACAGTGAAAAAATAAATCTGAACTAAGAGTACTACAAAAATACCAAACAACTGAACTTCATTCCATTTCAAAACTTCTATTTTGGACTTAATCATCAAATTTTTGGGAAGTTGACTCTTCTTGTTTGAATCTTATAAGGTGGCGAAGCTTATTTGGGGTGATTATAGATCTGGTCCCAGTTCTGAGTATCTTAAAACTAAAGTCCTCAACTATTTCTTACTAATACATCTCTCCCTCCCAACTTCCTCTTGCTCTGATCGTTCTTTTTTTTATATCCTCACCTTACAATATTCCTAAAGCATTCTTTATAATGTTGTTTCCTTATGGTTTCTTACCCATTACTATTATTTTTTCAATTCATTTTAATAGGCTGTTGTAATCTGGCACCTAGTTTATCTATACAGCTCTCTATATCTCACAACTCCCTGCTCCTGGTGGTTCATTTATTTATTCTCCCTTTACCTTCTACTCTTACAAGCTTCATTCTCACCTCAAAACCTCTGCTTATATCATTTTTCCTACTTGTTCTTTCTTGTACCTCCCTACTACTTCTCTCTTGGGAACATACTCTTTTCTTTATTTAATCTATCCAAATCATTCTTAAAAATCTATCTCTTTTCATTTATTCAGTAGACATTTATTAATGCCATCAAGTGTAAGCTCCAAAGGGTGTCTCTGCCCACTAAATTTACCAATAAAGATATTATCTTCTTTATTTTGTATCTATTCTAGTTATGACTCCACATTAGGGGAAAATCTCATACTGAGTCAATCGATACATCACCTTCATCCCATTTTTGGCTGCTTCCAACTTTTAATATAATTAGTCAGCTCAACCCTTCTCCTCTTGAGTTTTATATCTGTCCTAGACAATCTATCATACCTTAGGTATTGTCTGTTCTGGGTCTGTGGCATAGCATATAAAAAAGTAAGTCATATATATTAGAGAGAAAATTTTAATTGCAGTCATGTGTCTCATAACTGAAGTAGTCGTAAATTATGTTGCATAATGTCTTAGTCCTAAAATCATAAAACAACTATTAATATTTGATTGTATTAATTATTTTGCTTCATGTTGTGCAAACAGCCAAGAGATAATGGCTTCCATTTTATAAAAATAAAAAAAAATTCTATTAAAATATTTGAGGAGTCCTGTGGCACAGTGGTTAAGTGCTTAGCTATTAATAGAAAGGTTCATAGTTCAAATCTACCAGCCATTCCATGAGAGAAAGATGTGGTAGTCTGCTTCCATAGAGATTTGGAAACCCAGTGGGGCACTCTGGTAGCATAGTGCCTAAGGCACTTGACTGCTAACCAGAAGGCTGGCGGTTCAAACCCACCAGCCACTCCTCAGAAGGAAAATGGGGCAATCTACTTCCGTAGTGATACTGCCTCAGAAACCCAAGGAGAGGTAGCTATGAGTTGGGTCCGACTCAACGGCACATAACAACAACAACAACAACAACAGCACAGATGCCTAAGGCAGTTGACTGATAATCAGAGGGCTGGCAATTCAAACCCACCAGCCACTCCTCAAAAGGAAGACTGGGCAACCTAGTTCCATAGAGACACCACCTCAGAAACCCAAGGGTGACTTGTTGGTACTCAGTTCGTTTGTTTTTGTTTAGTAGCACAGAAAATCACAACTGGTTGCAAAGGGCCACATTTCTTTGACTAAAAGTGGACAAATGATTTTACTTGGTAGTATATATAAGGCTGTATCACTATTGTTCTTGCATTTCAAGGCACTTCAAAATGCCATAAAAATAATTTTGCTTTCAATAGGTCAGTGGACTTTGACTTAATGTAGGAATAAGGTTATGCATGCAGGAGCTCTGGTAGGGTAATGCCTAAGGCACTTGACTGCTAATCAGAAGGCTGGCGGTTCAAACCCACCAGCTGCTACTTGGAAGGAAGGTTGGGCAATCTACTTCTGTAGTGATACTGTCTCAGAAACCCCAGGAGGGGTTGCTATGAGTCAAGTCTGACTCCACGGCACATAACAACAACAACAACAAAGTTATGCATGCATCTGAACTAGGATACAAAAGAAAGGGAGAATATTTCATTTTTACTGAGGGAAACTGCTGAGGAAAATAAGTAGTTACATTTTCTGTTAGCAATCTGCTTCTTACCCAAAACATAAATCTCACTGTTGACTACAGCTGTACTGAATCGGTACTTTGAGTACTTCATGGGTGCCCGTTCTGTCCACTGGTTTTGTCTGGGGTCATACTGTAGCAGTTTGTTGCTTAATCGATCAGGTTCCTCATCAGGAAGATCCATCTATATGAAATATAACAATATAACAACATAGCATTTAGAGATCTTTGTGAGGACATGAGTGTATTAATCAAAGCAGACAGCCAAGGAGATAAATAGGGGTTAAGTGAAGTGATTCATACTCACAAACACACCAAATCCCATGACTTGGGATTATAAGTACACTGTCAATATCAGAAGAATTTATATGCTGCAATAATGAAGCTGAGGTATTGGGTTATAGCAAACAATCTGTCATTCTAGCAGTGAGACAATATAGCTTTTTTTTTTTTTTTTTTAAAAAAAAAAAAAAGAAGAAGCAACCGTAAGCCTTAAAAATGAAGCCAAGCTCTTTTGAGTTAAAAAAGGAGTATAATTTTGTTTTACAAAAATTTATAGCTGTAGATATTAAGAATATTTTTGGGAAACTAATTTTACTATTTCATAAGGCATTTTGCAAAACTATTTCAATGTTTTAGCAATTAGAAAATTTTTGCATCATAATCTGAATTACGAATTTTACACCTAAGTTTATAGTTTAATGGTCTGAATTCAATGTTTAAGATACATGGATTAATCTAAATAATTTACAGTTATTTTTATATATTTACTTTATATATATTTCTATGACTAGCTACAGTGCAAATTGAATAATTTGTTTGTTCTTACATAGATTGAAGTGGCTTCTCATAAACTTCAGGAGGAAGCAATTTTTTTTTTTTACACAATGTGTCAGAAATTTTATATGACTTCTGACTAACGGTTCTTAAGTGTCTTTTATTTTGGAAATAGTTATTTAACACAGAAATAATTGTCATACTTATGAAAGTTGTATGCAATTAATTTTTAGTTGGCTACTTTAAATATACCAAGAGATAAGCACTATGGTGCAAACACAACCCCAGGTTATCTTGCAATCTAATTTATTATTATTAAGTATTAAATGAAACTAGTAAAAGCCTTTTTATGCAATAAATCTTCATGTGTTGCCTGTTCAAAGATACATTATAAATGAACAAATATCAACTTCAATATTTTAATTTTTCTTCTAATTTAATTATTTAATCTCCATTTCAGTGAAAGAAAAGCTTCTAAGTTGTCTTTGGAGCTTACTCATACAAAATAACTATGTAAATGGATAGTTTTCAGAAAGTTTTACAACTAATTTGCCAGGGTTTAGCCATCAGATGTGATGAAATCGGTAATACTTTTTGATACAGAGTACAAATAATATGTGTTAAACGTGAAGTTTTAGTTTTTACAAAAGATACGACATGCTATAAATGGCAAAGTCCAAGCTTATGAAATTAATGCAAAAGAATTGGTTTTATTATGAAGTATACCTGGAGAAACAAATCACACAGGGAATAATAAATTTACTTTACTTCATGAGGATAGTCAGTGACCTACTAAGACTAATTTTTATTAGAATGACTGGATGGCCAGGGCAGAAGGCAACTGAGATGATACTACTGTGAGGGGACACCCATGGAGAAGAGAAAGGGCCACAGAGGTCATACTGTAATGACTTTTCAATTGTGGCTTGCCATCACTTCACTGGCTTTCAATATAAAAATGTATTCTGGTTTCTTGTCTACTACTAATACCCGACAAAGACATAAATGTTTCAATCACACCGTACTTTGCTGCAGATGATATGATCAGTATTCTGGTTCCTCACCTAGAATAAAAATTTTAAATACACACTCAACCCCCTATGGGTTTCCGAGGTGGTAAATCTTTATGGAAGTAGATTGCCCAGCCTTCCTTCCACTTTAAATACAGAAGAAATCTAAAAATGACTTGCCTCAGTTCATATAGCTATTAAGCAGACTGAACTATATGCTCATTCACTTTCCCTGCCTCCTAGTTAGATACTCTCTATAGATAATTCCTCAGCACAAGCACCTCTCCTGATTAACAAGAATGGGAAGAATTATGATGAACATAGCATGAATACTGAATGAAGTCATGTCTATGAATAACATACTTTAAAAATTCATTCTCCTAAAGTGCATTAACACTTTATAACCTTCAGTTTAATGTTTCAGAAAACAGAAAGCATTTTACAAAAAATGTAAGTCATAATCTTTTAGTATTAAACAACTACAGCATTGTCAACACAGCAGCCAAACTCAGCATAGCCATGCCAATTAGGTACAAAGGAAATGTCTTAACCTGAGGGGTCCAGCCTCCAAACACATAAAGTTTATTATTCACTGTTACTACAGCATGACACGCCAACTGTAGTGGAAGGGGAGATACCCTTTTCCAACTGTCCCGTTCTACAGAGTATTTATCAACATAGTTTGTAATAAGATACTGGTTTTTAATTTTCATCTGTCCTCCTATAACATAGAGGTCATTATGGACACTGCCTAGAGCATAAAGCTCTCGAAATTCAGTTGTGCATAACTTTTCCCAAAACTGGTTTCCTCTATCATGATACCTGTAAATTAACAGAGAGAGAACGCAGGATTAGAGTTAACATGTAAGTAACTTACCCAATAAATACATTTAAGTTTCTTTTCAACTAAAAACATCATGATCTGTTTTCTAGTTGAAGAGGAAATAACATTAATCCAAGATGGTAAAAAGATTAATTACATCTACCTGAAGGATTCTAGGAAAAATAGCATACAAGGAAAGTATAAATTATCCAAGATTAGCCTTCATTCCCTAATTTAGGGACAGAAAATGAAGAACAAAGGAAAGTCTTTCAGCAAGTCATTTGTAATTTTGCTGTAAAAGAAGAATAAGTATAAATAAAAATATAAAAATGCCTAAGGCATTTGACTGCTAATCAAAAGGCTGGTGGTTCAAACTTACCAGCCACTCCTCAGAAGAAAGATTGAGCAATCTACTTCCACAGAGACTGCCTTGGAAACCCAAGGAAGAGTTGTTGAGTTGGAACCTACTCGACGGCAGTGAGTTTGGTTTTATGGTATTCTGTGAACTAGAACTATCATTTTGATACTACATTAAAAAATATCACAATTTTACAGCAAAAAATATGAAATTCCTCTCAGATCTCTACAGGGATGATGTAGAATATGAAGAGTTTTAGGATTATTGTTGATGTAACTGGCTTAAAGTAAGGTCAAGAGCATTGATAAAAACCCACCTGTAGAAGTCTGCTGGACATTTAATCTAATAAACGCACTGCCGTGGAGTCACATCCGACTCATAGTGACCCCTCCTTGGGTTTCTGAGGTGGTATCATTACAGAAGTAGATTGCCCAATCTTCCTTCCGAGGAGTGGCTGGTGGGTTTGAACTACCACCCTTCTGGTTAGCAGTCAAATGCCTCAGGCACTACACCACCAGAGCTCCCATATTTAATCTAATAGGTATGGAAATTTTTTTCATGAACAGTTGTATCTGAGAAGAGTCTTGGGAGGTAGGGACACTAGGACACTTGGTGTCTCAATGCTTCCTAGAATCCAACACATTGAGTGTGTGTGTGTCCATGTGTGCCTGCGTGTGTTTATATGTACAATTTGTATACATGTTTATGTATGTACAAGGCGCTCTGGTGGTGTAGTGGGTAAGGCATTTGGCTGCTAACCAGAAGGTTGGTGGTTCAAATCTACCAGTTGCTCCTTGGGAGGAAGATGAAGCAATCTACTTAAAGATTTACAGCCTTGGAAACCCAATGGTGGTAGCTATGAGGCGGAATCAACTTGACAGCAGTTGTGTGTGTGTGTGTGTGTGTGTATAGCATTATATAGTCAATGACTATATGAGTTTCTGGCTATTTTTGGTCTTGCCTCATGATAATGATAAGTCTGTTTCTCCAATCATGATTTGGAATGCAAAGTCTGAGAGGACAAAAGTAGTTATGGGAACCAAAACTCAAAACCAAACTCACTGCCATCAAGTTGATTCTGACTCACAGAGACTCCTTTTGGGTTTCTGAGGCAGTAAATCTTTATGGAAGTAGACTGCCCCATCTTCCTTCCACGGAGTGGCTGGTGGATTTGAACCACTAACCTTCAGGTTAGCAGTTAAATGCTTTAGGCACCATGCCACCAGAGCTCCTTATTTATGGTGATAGTGAGATAAAATTTATGAAATTATATCTGTTCCAGAAAATCCAGAAGTACACCTGGAATTCAGAACTAAAACAAAACAAAGCAAAAATCAGGAAAACATAGGAAAAAAAGTTGTTCTGTTAGGAAACCAATAAAGAAATTATATAAGTGTGTTTTGTACAGGGACAATTTTTAAGTATAAACTACTTATTTTGCACCAATTATTTGGCAGTTAATCACATGTAGGAGTTATCTCTTACATTCTTACCCAGAGATAATTTTTACTTTAGGCCTGATATGGAACTTGGAAGGTATGTTCTTTTCCTATAGGGCATGTATGGTTTGTGACAAACTGAATACAGAAACTTATCAAACATTATGGTTGCTATCTTCTAGTATGAAATTCTAGGCAGGAAATCAAAGTCCCTAGAAACACAAGTGATATTTTACAGCACTATTTTTTAACTGTATTGGGTTTTGGAAAAGAACAGTAGACATCTACACATAGGGGTTACTCAAGTAAAGCCAACTGAATGTATATATAGGTAGAAATGAAAAAAAATGAGCTTTGGTATTCAGAGATGTGATTTAAGAAAACAGACTAGAACAAAAACTATCCCATGAAGGTTAGGAAGTACATAATTTCTGGATGACTTGCTATCTGGTTTTTAACTGAAAATACAGAGAGAAATGCCCAGCTAAAACTATACAAAGTGGATATGACATAAAAAAGGAAGTAACAGTGACAAAAGCCTTCAATGTTTCACAGAAGTTGATAGTTTTAAGACAACACTTATAACCTCAGTTACTTATATACCAAAATGTGAGGGATAAGTAAGGGAGATAGAAAAGTCTATCGATTTGAAAAAACATGACCTGCTGGAGTACTATTTTACTTCCTCCTTTAAGTTAAGAAGAAATATAGCTGCATGAAAAATCTGTGAACTATAATATAAAGGCAACTGAAGAGCATCTGGGCAAAGATAAAAAGAATGTATAACGGAAATAATATGCTAGGAATGTACCACCGAATAATACATTTCTCATACAAATCACAAAACTGGCACTAAAGTGACCTTCGGTCGTGCTAGGAGGTTTTAACTACTTAGACATCTGCTGGAAGCCTCATTTATGCTCAAAGCAATGCTTTGGTCATTTGCCTGGTTGACAATTTCATCATTGGAGAAAATGATGAGGGACACAGATACTTTTGGTGTAGCCAAAAGCCCAAAGCATTTGACTGCTAACCAGTAGGCTGGTGGTTCAAACCCACCAGCCATTTTTCAGAAAGAAGACAGGGCAATCTACTTCCGTAGAGATAGCGTCTTGGAAACCCAGGGAGGGGTCCCTATGAATTGCAATTGACTCGATGGCAATGAGTTTTGAGTTTTGACTAATGTGGAGGAAAAGACTGGTGATGGGAATCCTGGTTGAAATCAAGATAGATAAGAAGGGAAACACAGGGTCTATAGTTAAACATATGCAGGAAGAAAGAGAAATAGGCTTTCAAAATAAGAGGAAAGATGTTTAAGGATCAGAAATGGAATGGCATTTTGACAGGGTGGGGGGTTTATTTAAAATTCTGATGGCAGAATTGTGGTCTATCTTGATGAGGAAGGGAAAAGGGCTATCCAAAGAACCTGAAGTAATTGTAGAAGAGGCTCTAAGATGGAAGGAAGGGTACCTAATCAAGTTGTTGTTGTTGTTGTTGCTAAGTGCCGTTGAGTCATTTCCGACTCATAGTGACCCCCCACGCACAGCAGAACGAAATACTGCCCGATCCCGCGCCAGCCCCACAATCCCTGCTATACTTGAGCCCATCATCGCAGCCACTGTATCAATCCATCTCCTTGAAGGCCTCCCCCTCTTTCGTCAACCCTCCACCCTACCAAGCATGATATCCTTCTCCAGGGAATGGTCCCTTCTTACAACATGACCAAAATAGGTGAGACGAAGTCTGGCCATTCTTGCTTCCAAGGAGCATTCTGGCTGCACTTCCTCCAGGACAGATCTGTTAGTTCTTTTAGCAGTCCACGGTACTTTCAGCATTCTTCGCCAGCACCACAACTCAAAAGCATCAACTCTTCTTCGGTCTTCCTTATTCATTGTCCAGCTCTCACATGCATACCAGGCGATTGGAAATATCATGGCTTGTGTCAGGTGCACCTTAGTCCTCAAGGAGATATCCTTGCTCCTCAGCACTTGAAACGGTTCCTTCACAGTTGACTTTCCCAATGCTACACGTCGTCTAATGTCCTGACTGCTGCTTCCATTGGCATCGATTGTAGAACCAAGCAACGTGAATTCCTTGACAACCTCAATCTTCTCTCCATTTACTGTGATGCTGCTCATTGGTCCAGTTGTGAGGATTTTTGTTTTCTTTATGTTGAGTTGTAATCCATACTGCAGACTGTATTCTTCAACCTTCATCAGTAGGTGCCTTAAGTCATCCTCACTTTCAGCAAGCAAAGTTGTATCGTCTGCATATCTCAGGTTGTTAATGATTCTTCCTCCAATCCTGATACCACGTTTTTCTTCATATAGTCCAGCTTCTTGGATTATTTGCTCAGCATATAGATTGAATAAGTGTGGAGAAAGAATGCAACCCTGACGCACTCCCTTCTTGATTTTAAACCATGTAGTGTCCCCTTGTTCTGTTCGAACGACAGCCTCCTGGTCAAGGTACAGATTCCTCATGAGTACAATCAAGTGCTCGGGAATTCCCATTCTTCTCAATGTCATCCATAATTTGTCATGATCCACACAATCAAATGCCTTTGCATAGTCAATAAAACACAAGTAAACATCTTTCTGGTATTCTCTGCCTTGAGCCAAGATCCATCTGACAACAGCTATGATATCCCTTGTTCCACGTCCTCTTCTGAATCCGGCTTGAACCTCTGGAAGTTCTCTATCAATATACTGCTGCAAACGTTTCTGAATTATCTTCAGTAAGATCTTACTTGCATGTGATATTAATGATATTGTTCTATAATTTCTACATTCTGTGGGATCACCTTCTTTGGAATGGGCACAAATATGGATCTCTCCCAGTCAGTTGGCCAGGTAGCTGTCCTCCAAATCTCTTGGCATAACTGAGTGAGCGCCTCCAATGGGGCATCTGTTTGTTGAAATATCTCAATCGGTATGCCATCAATTCCCGGAGCCTTGTTCTTCGCCAGTTCTTTCATTGCAGCTTTGACTTCTTCCTTCATTACCATTGGTTCTAGATCATATGCCACTTCCTGAAATGGATGAAGATCGATCAGTTCTTTTTGGTACAGTGACTCTGTGTATTCCTGCCATCTTCTCTTGATGTTTCCTGCATCATTCAATATTTTGCCCATAGAATCTCTCAATATTGCAACTCGAGGCTTAAATTTTTTCTTCAGTTCTTTCAGTTTGAGAAATGCTGA